ACAACGTCCTATTTGAGCTTTTAAATATCTTCAATCCATCAATTCCCACGTCTATATAAACTTTATCTACGCTTTGCAAAAATTCGAAATCTCTTGACATAAAAAAAAAACTGGATACCGAAATATAAGAACTCTCCCCCCTGGTATGGTTTTAATATCTACTGTCTCCCGACTAGTACCTAAAAGAGTTTTAGCGGAAAGAGGTAGTCCGTCAACCCCTATCTTCCTCAATGTTTTTAATAGGTCCGTCAACGTATTCTGAGAGAGATTATTTCGGATAGCAAAAGCCTTTAACTCACTACTCCGTTCATAATTTGCATCTATATTTCTTACACTATCATCTAACTCATGTAAGTCGAATAAATAACTCTCACTATCGCTACTCTCATTACACCCAAAATCATCTTCATTAACCAAAACAGTATCTGATACACTTCTCACAGTAGGATCAAAAATATTTTGAAGGCCGGCAGCTCTGCTGGTACTAGGCATGTCATCATTACAACAAGGTACTCTATAATTGCTACTACTGTTACCAATTTCCATTTGATGAGCAAGTTGGTTCAGTTTTCTATATTTTGAAACTGATGCTTCAAAATCTTTCTTCTCCTTGCTCATCAAATTGGAAAATGTTTTTTTATTCATACTCATGATTCACAAAAATATCCTACGTTCAATTATTTTTAGTAATCTATTGACTATTAACTAAGATTAGTATTTTGACAGTAAATGCCTTCTTTGTTTTGATTGATGACGTATCTTTATCAGCTGAATGAAAAAGCAGTCAGACCAGTAATGAGCGATTCTGAAATAATATTGAATTACAAATTGTAATTTTTTTTAAATATTAGATGTCTTAATAGAAATCAGTTTGAAGCAGGTCTACATAGAATATGGCTGACTTCCAAAACGTCAATTGCTATGCATACGTACAAAGTTTAATGTTCCATAACGCCCAAATACTAAATATTGACAATGTATACTTTTCCAAAACGCATCCGAAAAGTTATCGAAACGCATCGCTAGAGCAATCAGCGCATCAGAAACAAAGTTGATGCTTCGTTTGTTACGTGGTTATCATTGGTGTTTTAAAAATGGAAAATTCAGAAAAATTGTTCATTGCTATATTGAATATTTGAAATATGCAATGTATATGGCTGCAATGTGTCGCAACTCTGCATATACAAACAGTTTGAATATCGCAGTATAATAGTTTCCAAACATTGTATTGACACGTTTTGAAAGTCAGCCTATGTCTCGTTAATCACTCGGAAAAGCGGTACTCAATCCAATAATATAATTTACACACGAGTCATGGGCAAAATTTTAGTATTAAGTACTAAGTACAAAAATATTTAGGTATTTGTGTTGTGGTAAATACCAAAGTACTATTTACTAAGTATTTTGGATTTTACTTATTTTCACAGCGCTAAATACATAGTCTAAAAGTATTTAGTTAGTTTCACCTAACGAAACGTACAGAAGAAAAACCTTGTTGTTAGTACCAAGAATCCCGAAAACTCCGAAGTAGTATCAAAGATAATTTTAGTAATCTAATTAGTAATTAGTTAGTATTTTGACAGTAAATGACTTCTTTGTTTGATTGATGACGTATCTTTATCAGCTGAATGAAAAAGTAGTCAGACCAGTAATGAGCGATTCTGAAATAATAGATTTAACTAATTAAATTACAAATTGTAATTTTTTTTATATTAGATGTCTTAATAGTAATTAATTTGAAGCAATTCTAGAATATGTCTTGTTAATCAATTGGAAAAATCAGTACTCAATCCAGTTACAGATGCGTTCAACTAATTAGCAACGAAATTCAAAATGATACTGTTTGCAACTTATGATTATTTATTTATTTTTAATAATTTTCATTTAAAAAATAATTCAAAATAAAAGTACTAAGTACAAAAATAGTTAGGTATTTGTGTTCAGGTAAATACCAAAGTAACGGATTTAAACTTTGGAAAATAAATTTAAGTTTTGGACAATTAAATTTAAACTTTGGCAAATACAATTAAACTCTACTGTGCAACTAAATCTATTGTACGAGAAATCGGACTACGACGGATTCAGTGATAGCTCCGAGTATAGCCAAAACTGGTAAAAAGTTGTGAAAGTTTTTACACGGAGCCATTATCGCACGAGTAAAGGAACACTGAATTTCAATACAGGTGAAATAAGCTGATGCCAGATAAAACTTTGTGGCTTTGCGTGACAATTATAACTTTGCCAGCAATGCGCCAGACGCAAAAGCCACAATGAACGCCAAGAAAACAATTTTGTTTTGCTTTTTTAATCGTCCGTGTTGCTGTGGACTTCATATACATAAGTATTAAGCATTCGAAATATCAGCAATGTAATTAAATTGTATGTTTCTGCACGATTGCTCGAATTCGGATGAAACAATATAAATATTAAACCGGCAGATTGTTTCCCATCTTTTCGCTTCGCGCTGCAGCTGCAACGATCTGTGTATGTACGTGGCATGCTTTGTGCATTTTCATACAATTCATCTCATCTGTCACGCAAAGCGAAGTAAGCGTTTTATCTGGCATCAGCTTTACACATCATAAGTTGCGTTCCAGATGCTTCACGATTTGCAGGATTTGCAGGAAAAGCTGTTTTCTCCATTAATAAACCTTATGCAAGGTGGTAACCTGGACCGACTTCCTGTAAAAACCTGCAAATCGTGAAGCATCTGGAACGCAACTATAATAATCACTAATTTTGGCAATCCGGAGATACTGATTTGCAACTAACGTGCGCATGCTTTATGTTAATACGTTATGCAAGCCTCCTATTATAGGTTTCTATATACAATTGAGGGATTCACAAAGGTATTGTAAGTGTCGTATTGTTGTATGTCGTAAACTTTAAAAGCTTAAGTAAATGCTTAGAGGACTTGAAACGACAACCAACTATTATTCATAATATGACTTTGATGGTACTTTACGAACCCCTTTAATATATTTTTTAGGCGTTTAAAGTTTACAACATAAAACAATACGACTCCATTGTGAATTCCCCAAACACGCAAATATACATAAGTTGTAAAGCAATACACCACCTCGGTTCCGCACATTGCACACAAAGGTTTTTATTATTAACAAAAACCACTGCATATAATACTTTCCCAACATTTTTGCTGCTGGCGCTTTCAGTGACTTAGGGCCAGTTTAAACTTAAATTACTTAAACTAAGTTTATATTGAACAGCTGGTTGGCATTTGATTGATTGGCCAATCTTAGTTTGAACTAACCAGCTCGAGAGTTTAAGCCACAACCGTGAACTGAAAAACTGGCCCTTAATGCAGTTTAGTCTTTTAAACACCCAAAAGGATTGAAAGCCGAAATTTTTGGAAAACACGGCACAACACAGATCATGTCTTAAGACTAGATTCCACACCATGATTTTAAAGCATTCCGGCTTTCTACATTTTTGTTTGCACACAAATCCTAACTTCAATAAAGTCACTGAAAGAGCCACAAGCCTGTGCAAAATTTTGCACAATTTACATATGTCACTTAAATCACTTTTTATCACTTCACTACTAATACTTCCTTTAAATCAACACGGCCAGTCCCAAATTTTGCAATTTATTTGCTGAAAAATATAATAAATTATAGAAAATATAACAATTTTAGTTAGCTCACCTGATTTCAGCTACGAAAATGGCAACGAATTTGCAAACAATAAACGAGTTCTTTTTCATGAGTTCTTTTGTAAGTTTTAGTGATGCACTTCTTCTGTGAAAAGTACTTGTGCAAAAAAGTAACCATATAAGATTGAATTGACACCGCGCGGTATAAAAGCGCATTTATCGTACGTAAATATGCAATGCAGAACTAGGATTCTACAAGTCAATTAATTACAACAATGGTATCTAAAAATGTTGGGGAAATTCTAAATTGTTTGAACTTTTGCTTCAATACCGGGTACTTTTAATATGAAATAATTACTTCCAAGACATGATTTCCTCATCACAAATCTTGTTGTCATGACAACAAAGTTATTATAGCATTGGCTGCAAATGAGAATGTATTAGAAAATAGTAAAATATTTGTGAATGTGTTGGGGTTTGTGCGTAAAGTGCTCAGCAGTGTCTTCCCTGCAAGAACGATGACAGTCATTTGACCGGTCATGTGATATTCAATTGTGATAACAATTTCTGTCCATGCCTGGAAGCAAGTTTCTATCACATTATTAAGGTCAAAATGCAAAAATTGATAGAAACATTTGTGTTCGTGTGATGCTGCATCCTTTTCTAACAGACTAGTTATAGAAACTTGATCAGCATATAGCCGCACTGTTTACTCGAACGGTGTTTGGCATATAGACTATAATCATCAATGATGGAAATATTTGTCAAGCATGACTAGCATACTTGATGTAAACATTAGGCCATTGTGACCGTCATACGTGATATAAAAATGATGCAATTGTGACCATCATACGTGATATAAAAATCATGCAATTGTGACCATCATAGCTGATGTAAAAATCATGCAACTGTGACTATCATACCTGGTGTATAAAACATGCCATTGTGACTATCATATGTGATGTAATAATTAATCAACAATGATTTCTCATGTTTGATATAAATATTGATAACGCGTGTTAATCACAGTTGAGTCAAACATTTTCTACAAATTAATAAATATGTATACTTTGTTCAATAATAGAAAATTTTAACATATTTTCACAAGTTTTTAAATGATAAAGCGTTCAATTACGCAAAATCTGGTAATAATTTTTTGTTATTGAGCAAAGGTATTACAAGTTGTCTTTCAATTTGTTGAAAATAAGGTTTATTTAAAACACATAACGATTTATAATTAAAAAAATAAGTCAATTCATTTCATTTTTATGGTTTTTTTTAGGTTTTTTCTTTCTTTTTAATTTTCGTACTTATTTCATTTCAAATTTTATAATTATTATTATTATTATTGTCTTTTTATTATAAATTATTATATGTTTTTATTTATATTATTTTATTTTACATTATTTTGCTGTATTTTTATTTTTGTTGCGTAGATAAGTGCGCTGCTTAAATCTATGATGACTCAGCAAAATAGATTTTTTAACGCTGAGCTCGAAACTCCTCGATCCTTGTTTTTTAAATACGTCTAAATTAAATAAGAACAAGTTATTAATAATTTTAACAGTACAAAGTTAACTGTAATGTATACTTCGCAAAATGGTATCGATGAGTGCCAACTTGCAAAGGGACTTTTTCTCCCACCTTCCGTCCCAGTTAAACCCCTGTAGCAGCTCGTCAGAAAAAATATTTCGCATTATGGTCGCGACGTCTTCAGATGCCCCTTTGACTTTGTGGAGGAATTTCGTCTTTAAAAAAGATTAAAACAAAGGAATTATGTAGATTCCAACAAGGGATATTCTAGAAAAATCTTTGATTTAATTACCATTGCTTGGGCATACTCCGGGCATTGCAGTTTCTCCTCGACTTCAGCGACTGCCGTCTGAGACTGCAGCGGCAACGTGCTCGCGATGTCGTCCAGCTCTTTGTCCTGGGTCTCACCAGTCATGCGGAACACCGATTCCGTCACCTTTTTGAGCATGACCTTGCACTCGCTTATTGCCTTATTTTGTGCAAGCATTTCACTCTTTTCAACAATCTGAAAATAAAGAAATTTTTACGAAATTATATTTTAATAAATCGTAGAATCGAGAAAGTAAATATCAAAAGAAACCAGCATAAGGATGTCAAACACTTACTTTGAGGTCCATTGCAATTATCTTGTCGCAGATAAGAGTTTGGTTGTGTACCATTGACGATTGCCCTTCGCTGAGCGTCCTTTGATTTTGTAGGAGGGTGAATTGCTGAAAAGGTTAGAAAAAAATACAGGCAACGTTAAAAATGCATAACAAAAAAAAACACCCCTAGAATAATAAACTTACGTTTTCCTCAATCTTTTGCAGCCTGTCCCGTATCTCCCTGAGGGCTTCTAGAACATCTAAAATTCAAAAAGTAAATAACCAATCAAATAGAGTTAATTCGAAAGCTTATGATAAAAGTTACCCGTGTCTTGTTGGACCTTTGCTCCTCCAACAGCATATTGTCGCCTCTCAATAATTGAATTGTTTACTAAAAAAATACATAAGTACATATTTTAAATATATACTTACATATATGCATGACTCTATACCCGTGTTGCTGTTAACTTACCACTTTCGTCTTGGGTCTCAAATATGTTGTTAGATGAGCTCATTTGTATATTACACAAAATATATATTATTAAATAAATATATTATATAATTAAAAATTATATTATATAACTAATAATTATTATATGTATCATGTTATATTTATTAATAGTTCGTTATTAATTTATTATTGTATTTTTATTATATGTATTGTATAATTATTATATGTATTTTGTTATATTTACTGATATCTCATTTTTAATTTAATATTGTGTTTATTAATTATATTGTAATTATTTATAATTAGTAATTTTTATTAAATTTTAATTCAAATATGTATGTTAAAATTTTAGATGAGAGTGGAATGCTCAAATTAGTGATTAGTGGGAAAATTTGTGAAAAAGATTATGCAAGAGCGGTATAAGTAGAAACTTCTCCTCGATAGGTATACAAAAGTATTTTAAATGGATATCTTCCATTGAAAGTGTTACTATTTCGTCACCTAACTCACTAGCAAGAACTATACCAAGCCCGCTAAACGACTCTACAGGCAACTCAAAGTAATTTTCAGTTTTTTTAAAAATTTTGCACACCATTTTATTGGGCTCTTGTGACTTTATAATATTGATAACCTTCATAGGTCCTGTCGATTCACTAAAACAAAAACTATCTTTCATTTTGTTCGGATTTAAATTAAATGATGCAAATTTTGACTCGTTCTCTGAATTTAATTGAAGTCCCTGCTTTTCATGAAGTCTGAGATATATTTGCTGAAGGATTTTGTTGGGTTTACTTACAAGTTTTTTTATATATTGCATGAAGTTTTCGAACCTGTATGCTGAAAATGAGTCTAAGGGCCCAAATTGTTTAACGCAATCTGCTAAGTGAAGTAACCCATGAACATTAAAACTAACCAACTCATCACCATATATAATTCCAAAAATATTGACGAAATCTTGTAGCATTTGTTGGGAAACATTGGACTCAATTATGTGAGATTTTTCATTAGACAAAAGACGAATACCACTATGCAATAACAAAAAATGATAATACTGATCACTGCTGATACAATCTTTTAGAACGAATATTCCGGTATATAATAAAAACTGCCTAAACTCAGTCGACTTCCAATTATGAATTTCTTCTAAACTTCTAGATATGCGGACAAACTCTGATGGGACATATTTAGAGATAAAATCGAGCTTCTTGTTTATAATAGTATGATTTTCTTTTTTAATAATAAGTTTAAGTAGTTTCTTAGTTACCCCTAAGTCGACTAGGTGCATACTATCTAGGGGAAACTGCGACACCATTCCAAACCCTGATTCTTCTAAAATGCTTTTTTTTACTTTAAAATTTTCTAGGTGATGAGAGGGATTTAATCGTAATTTAAAACTTGTATCTGATCTTAGAGGGCCGATTTGTTTCTGAAAACAAATCCTATTATTTTTGTAATCACCCACCTGGCAACACTTGGAGCAACCGTTTTTGCCATTGTGTGATATTACTCCTGTCACATAAGCCCTAGCTGGGGAATCACAAACAAACAGACGGATATTAAATTGCAATACATTTTGTTTAAACCCTACTTTAACGCCATTTTCTCTAAGCACCTTTACTTCCGCACAAAAATTCGACATGAAACTATCTAAATTATTTGGTTTTTTTAATCCTGAAAAACACGCGATCATAAAGGGATTGACATTAGGAAACCCTACAATTGAACCCAGGATAGGCCATAAAACTCTGTTCGAACTTTTATAAAGTTTGAGTCCATCAATACCTACATCTATAGAAACTTCAGTTTGTCCGTCTAAGTAGTTAAAAGAGCTCGAAAGAAAAAAATTTTGAATCCCTAAATACAAAAATTCACCACCCGAAATTTCTGAAACATTTATCTTTTCTTTGCTGGTATTTAATAGTGTTTTCGCAGACAGGGGAATATCATTGACTCCTATTTTATGCAACGTTCTCAATAAATCCTCTAAAGCGTTTTGAGAAATATTATTCCTAACAGCCCATGATTTAAGTTCGTCACACTTTTTCTTTGCGTCAATATTTTCTGCAGGGAAACTTAAAGCTAAGGAAGTGGACGCTTCGGGCTCTGCATCCAAACTATCGGTGGCCAAAAAATTACTGATCAGACTTTCATTATCTACTTCAGGTGGTGAAGCTACAGGATCGGGTTCACTTGTGGATATAAGGGGAATACTTTTTACAAAAGCCCTCGAATTTTCTTCACTTTCACTACCCGCACATTCCACTTCTAGCAATCTTTTATAATTTTTAACATTGGACTCAAATGTCCTTTTTTCTTTATAAAGACAATTTTGAAAATGTCTTCTTTTCATTTTTTCACTTATTTTTATCACGCTTCTCTTATTTGTTTTAAATAACAATTTAATGTTCGCTCAAATTTCACGTCTGCACGCTGCCACAATTCCTTCTAATTTAAGCGTCAGCGCGCTTTTCTTCGAACTCCTAAACTGTCATAAAAAATGCAACTCTGTCGAATATATTAGTTGTTTCACTCTCGCATCCACATTTGCAATATCGTAAAAATAAGAGCTTTATGGTCTTTTTTTAACCAACGCAAAAATATTAGAAATATTTTTAAATGTGTTAGTAACAAAAATACCTATGTATTAGTTTCCATCATACAATTCTTGTAGGGTTGTAGGGTAACTACATACATATGCATAAATTTGTGCGTATTATAGAACATAGCATCATCAAATATGATGTTACATGTATGTATATACGGGATGTGTGGGTGTCAACTGTGTGACAGCGCCAGAAACATTGGTGCTGATGACAAATGTCGCAGGGTAACAAACTTTGACTTTGAAGTGTAGCAAACAAGCAAACAAGGTGAATTGAATTATAAAAAGATTTGTAACATTTTTCTCTTTTTGATTCACAATTGAAACTTCTTAATGACATGGTTGCATTGGTGGTTGAGTGAAGCGCGCATTATGTACTTAGGCGATTGTGTGTAGGTGAAGTTTTAAGGGGAAGTAACTGGATATGTTGCTTGAGGAATGGATAATTATGAATTATTTTTGTAAATCGGTATACAGACATACATATGCATGTGAATATATGATTCGTATGTTCATTAGAGTGGTCCACAAAATAGCTTTTTTCCAAAATTTTTTCTCTTGTTGAAAGAGGTGCTGACACTAAAATTTACGTTTCTCTCATAAAATGTTTGTATTTTACTCTAGAATTATTATGTACATATATTAACCAAACAAATGGGTGAGCAACCTTAGAACATTTCAAATTTAAATTAGCTAATAAAAAATTTTTCAAGTTGTAGTTGTCATGGCAACAGTGGCTTTTTATAAAAATCACTAATTTTTTTCAGTTTCAAAGCGATATGGGTGTGCCCCGTTTTCTACGATGACATTTTTATAAAAAAAACATAAGTGGGTGTATACAGTTATTATTATTAAATAAGTAGTGAGAAACTTTTATTTTCTAGTTTATTTCAATCAACAGCCATTTAGTTCGGTTACTTAAGTAGCAATTTTTTATTTTACTTCAGTGCAGAAATATGAAGATAAACGTTCATTGCGAAGTGTTAAATTGTTACAAAAAAATATATAAATACATTTTAATTCAAGTGCAGCTTTCCAAAAATGGGCAACCAGTTCGCCTTCCTTTCCAACCAAATATGGCAAAGTGTCGCGTCGGCAAACAAGTTTAACAATTCGAAATCGCTCAACTTGAAATCAGCAAATATAACAAGAAACATACATACGTGTGAATATATTGAAATATATGTATACGAGTTCACATGCATATAAATTGTTACAAAATAAAAAATTAAATTTTATGCGAAACTTGTAGCGCGGAAAAACAAATTTTCTATATACAACCTTACAAACTGCACAATCGCTCGTACACGCATATAAAATTGTTCGTGAACACACCCAAAAAAGTGTCCAACTGACTGGCGGCCTAGGCATAACAGGTAGTTACGTGATTTTGTTGTTTATGTACACAAAACAACAATGAGTCACAGATCAATGCAGCAGATTGAATTCAATTCATCTCTTTTGCAAAGGCAGATACTTTTATATTAGGATGCATCACTCGCCATAGAAAAAAAAAATCGGTATTGTTTTTTAATCAGAAATTCTGCCGAAATATCTTGGAAAAATATTACGTTTTTCCTGAGCTGAAGCAGTTTGAAAATACCTCCAAAAATCGAGCTTGCTATAATTAAAATAAGATTTTAATAATATGTTTTCTAAAAAAACACCCCAGGAACCAGGAAATAGAAGAGTTTAAACTTAAGACTTCTGCATACAAATTTTAAATAATTTATATCGACTGATTTAAGATAACAAATTTTTGGTAATGCACCCTAATGTACATCGTTTATTTTATTTTTGCTGTATTATTATTTAATTTTTTTTTTTGGTTGCTATGCCGGCTACCTAGCCGTAACTAACGCTAGGCCCAGAAAATGCCTGTGGTACTCTGCATTTTTCCAAGAATCTGTTAGGCAGGAACTTCCCTAATTATTGCTTACGGTTCCCTGGTTTGGTGGAAAACTGTTGAGACGAGCTAAAATAATCTATACAAGGTACAAAGGTCAGGTTTAACATACACGAGCACATACACGAGCATGGACTTATTCTGTATTCTCTCTGTTCAACGCTTATGTACAAGAAAAACTTCAGTATAATGTCTCCATCAAGGAAAGACAAGCAGAATACTGCCTTTACTGAACGCCCCAAACATCTTTTTTTAAAGACGGTGTTTTTTTCAACTGACCTCCAAATCAAAAAATCTATTCGACTACCGAATTCGGACATGGTTTTTCAAGGGAGAATCTTTGTTATCAAGCAGGCGTGCAAGATAATTTCAGCCCCGGATTGATTTGAGGCCGAGCACATAGTCCTGTAGCTCATTCTGATGTGCAGGTTCTTCTTCCAACAAGTGCTTGTTGAGGTGCTAACGTCGACCTAGAGCACATGGAACTTGCTACCGAAGTCATGCTTTGACTACATCAGCAGA